AATAGAAGGGCGACGCTAAGTGTAGAATCCCATCATTTAGATTTAAAATAACAATACTGACTGGAGAGTATGGCTTATATTTTATTGTAGGCTTCAACTCAAAGTTATCTGATGCCAGAAGAGGGCCACTATCTTGACTCTCGCTAGGTTAAAAAAAATGGATGCTCGCTTTTAGGCGGTGTGGGCCAATAGCAGATAAAGTTAAATTTTTCAGGACTTCTTTATACTCTTAAGAAATGACAAATTCATGAAAAGCGCTGTTCATGCAAACAGAACCCATCTCTGTTACTCTCTCTCTCTCTCTCATAAGCACTGAAAATGGAGGGGTACCAATATCTAACTTATGAGTGTGACAAATTAGCGATTGAAGGTTCGACATCTCCCTGCCACTGTTAAATGTAATAACACAAGCGATATATCCCTTGAATGAACACGCCTCTTCGATATGAACCGTAATTAACCCCTTTAAATTAAGTAGATCTGGCAATGGACGCTATTGTTAATCCAGAATTCAAAACAGAGGGCAGTAATGCAGTCATCAACAGCAAGTCAAATGCCAGTCAAATGTGCATTTTGCGAGGCACGGTCTGCGTGCATAAAGTACGTTGGAGTAGGCACGAATATCACATCAAAAATAAATAATGACGCACCTTGGCGACATCTCTTGAAACCGTTGATGTCACAGGCATAGCGTTCCTGGTCCGGAATGCATTTTCGACTGCAGTCCCCTCCGTAGTGAAAAGGAGAGCACACAATGTGCACATAACTGTCCAGCCTACAATGTCAAATGCGGGGTAAGTGAAAGTAGTGATTGCGTTGGGGTCGTCGAACGCAGAGGAGACTGTTTGCAATGGTTCCCCTTTTCTCCTGATTGGTGGTCAACAAATCTGCCTGTGAGTGACATAAACACGCAGAGACCCAAGTCCAGAAGAAGGACCTTATTTATATTTATTTGAAATGGCAGGCATTTTGATAGTTATTATTAGCCCTGGAGATGACTTCGGGGCTTCACAGAGAGGAGAAGGAACATCAAAGTGACAAAAAGTCGAGAGGGCGAACAGAAGAGTTATTCACAGTTGTAAAAGAGACAGACAAACAGACACAAAGGCATAAAAAAGTAAGATGAGTACTGTGAAAGGGGACGAATATTAAAAATAGTCGTGCCATAGTAGTTTGAAGTCAGAAGTCAACTGCCGTTCAATAGACGTTTTTGCCGTGTAAGAATACGTTGCCCAGAGTGCACCACGTGGAGGTAAGTCTATTGCGGACCCCAAGAAGGACCTTACAAGTCCACGG